ATAAGGCGTGAGATAAGCATATTTCCTTTATATATATTCCAAAGCTACAGTTTCAATAATGCAAGTAATATTCTAAAATTATACTTCAAAAGGTTATTATTGCAGAACTCTTTATGGATTAAATGCAAGCAAAAAGCAACATCTATAACACTTTAATTCAAATGCTCCTAAATCAACTAGGGTTAATTTGCAAACAAAAGATAGGTTCAAAAGTCTTTTTCCATGCTTTATTTTCCTCAGTTATTACTAGAATTCACAACTATCCCATTGTCGGTATCCACACATTTCTCATTCACAAGTACACACGTTGCCTGTTTGTACCTGACACGAAACACAGCTTTGCATCTCACAAAGGGTTGTGAGGGGCCGTGAGGGGCTGTGAGGGGCCATGTGGGGCTGTGAGGGACCATGAGCAGCTGTGAGGGGCCCTTGCCCCTCTATGGAGACCTGTCATTCCTGTCCAGGAACCCATGGCTGAAATGGAATTCCACCCCAAAACTCCCCATATATCCAAGGGTTGCTTTCAGACAAAAGCTGCAAGGACAGACAGATCTGGCTTGCCTTGGCCTCTGGGACTGCTTCTCATGTGCCTTCAAAACCCTGGAGTTCTGTGATTTCCTTCCTATAGGAAAGAACTGTCCCCATTGTCCAGGTGCTCCTGGCCTCAGGCACTTGACCACTATACAGGGATGCAGTTTGACAAGAAAGTCTCACAGATATGTATGCTTGGCTGAAAGATTTTTGAATGTAATGTCTGAAGACGAATATAAATGAAAGCAAGTTTTGATATAAAAGAAAAGAATTGATGAGCCAGTCTTTTTGGATAGCTAAGAAGGCAAAGTGTATGTTAGTTAGAAGGGGTTTTTATGACTTAGAGCAAAGGATAAGCCCACCTCAAACAAGAAGATTTTACCAAGCAGAAAGATAGCACAGGCAAACAAGTCAGCAAATTTTGCAAGTAGAAAAAAGGTCTCAGAATTTTCCACTGCAAGAAAACTGGAAAACAACTTTTAGCTTAAACTGTAATGTACTAACTTTTAGTGATTGGAGAATAGTAACATGAATATGGTAATGATAGTAGTTATGATTGGCTATAGGTAAAAGTTAAGGTATAGATTGGTTCTATTTTGTGAAGATGCTCAGCAAAGAAAAGTATATAATGCATTTGTAACCTAAACTAAGGGTCTCCAGGCCTGCAGCTGGAGCTGACAGCTGTAGCACAGCTCTGTCACCCATGACTCTGGACTGCTGTATCACCTTGGATACAATAAACTGCACTTTGAAGAGCCGCCTGGCGTCCCACATCCCTCATTTCAGCTCTCACAAACTGGTGTTGCCCGGAACTGCCAGTGCCCAGATCCAGAAATTTCCTGGTGCTGGTGCAGCCCAAGTGCAGCAATTTGCAGGCAAAAACCCCCAAAATCTGGCAATTTTCCACTGCTGGCTCTGTTGCTGCCCAGACCTGGAGTTTCCCAGCACTGCCATTGCCCAGATGCAGAAATTTCCCAGTGCTGGCAAAGCCCAAGTGCAGCAATTTGCTGGCACAGAAATCAAAACCCTGACAAATACCTGGGGCTGGCACCACCCAGATCTGGTGTTTTCCAGCACTGCCAGTGTCCAAACATGGCATGGCAATTTCCTGGTGCTGGCACAGCCCAATTCCAGCAATTTGCTGGCAAAGAAAGCCTAAATCAAGCAAATACCTGGATTTAAAAGGTATTTAAAGCAACCCAATCTCATGTTTGCTGACACCGCCAGTGCCCAGATCCGGAATTTTTCAGATGCCTGCACAGCATAATTCCAGCAATTTGCTGGCAGAGAAGGTTCGCATTTGGCAATTTCCCGCTGCCAGCACATTCCCCACCCAGATCTGGTGTGCACTGGCACTGCCAGTGCCCACATCTGGCAATTTCCCGATGCCAGCAAAACCCAAAGGCAGCAATTTTCTGGCAAAGAAAGCCCAAACTTGGCAGCGCCCAGATCTGCTGTGTTTGGGTTGGTTTAAAAGAAGGAGACCTCGGCTTAAGGCTTTGGGAAAACCCTCTTTAGGGTGAGCAGGAGCTCCCACCCATAATCCTCTTGTTCAGTTATGCAGATTGTTACTAGAAAGTTCTGAGTTCTCTTTGCTACCATTGGTTACTTTTTGCCGCAAAATTGTAATATTCTTAATCATTCCTTCCTCTTGGATCCTTCCCTCAGATCCCACCTTAACCCCTCCCCATAAATAAATCTATAAATATCCCTGCTAGATCCTGGACCCAGGCTTTTTTCTGCTTCACTCTCTGTACTGTGCACGCCATCCTGCTTGTTGTGTTTGCCTTCAGTAAAGTTCTGTTTCCACACAACCAGATGAAAGCAGTCTCTGTCTGTAAAGTGGCCAGAGCTGGTTCTCAGGGAAACCACTGGCCAACGGTCCGGACGAGGACCAGAAGGTTTCACTGGTGTTTGCTGGCACTGCCAGTGCCCCGATCTGGAAATTTCCCTGTTCCAGCACCACCCATGTCCAGCAATTTGCTGGCACAGAAAGCTAAAACCTGTGGCAGCTTCCTGCTACTGGGTCTGGCACCACCCACATCTTGCGTTTGCTGCACCAGTGCCCAGATTTGGAAATTTCCCGGTGCCAGCAGAGCCCAAATCTGGCAGATTTCTGTCACTGGCAATGACACCACGCAGATCTGGTGTTTGCTGGCAGCGCCAGCACCCAGATCTGAAAACTTCCTGGTGCTGGCACAGCCCAAGTCCAGGGATTTGCTGGCACAGAAAGCCAAACTTTGGATATTTCCAGGTTCTGGCATCAGCATCATCCAGATGCTGGTGTTTGCTGGGACCGCCAGTGCCCAGACTTGGAAATTTCCTGATGCCTTCACAGCCCAGGTCTAGCAATTTCGTTTTAGCTAGCTGGGGCAGAGAAGTTCCTCGGACTGTGACTTTCCTTTTTCTTGGAATTGTTTAAACCCGCTCTGGAGGGAAGTCTTTTCCTCAGCTAGCAGGGGGAGGGGCCGCTGGAACTTGCTTTCTAGACTGACCCCTTTTGGAGGTTTCCTCCCAAAATTTGCCTGAAACCAGCACAAACAGTCACAATGAAAACTTCACCAGTGGCACAACTCCCAGCCCAGCAGGAAAAGAACGGACATGTAAAGTTCTCCTAACATTTGTCCTGCTTTGCTGCAAAAGTCCTGCTGCACACACTGTGCACTGTGGAAAGCTAAGAGAAGCTGCAGCTGGTGGCAAATCTTGTGACGGAGACTCAACCTTGTTCTCCATGAGAGATTCTTGAGAAGAGCAGACAGCAGATGATTCCTGGAAAACTGAAACAGCTTTCCGGAAGGGAAATGAGAATGAAAGAAACAATCCAAGATGTTTTCCTCTATTTATTTCTATGCTCCTCTTTTCCATGTTGCACTGCTTCTCCATCCCATTCATTCCAAATGCACCTCACCTCTAAAATCTGTGACATGGCAAGTTTTAGACACTCTAAAATACCATGAGCTACACACAGTTTTCCTTGTCACACAGGAAAGCAACACTGGAGGTGTAAGTGCAGTGCTTGGGTCAGGTAGGAATCCTACCCCAAGGGAAGGTGGCCCGGCAGTGTCTGACCCTCAGCAAGGACAATGCACAGCAGCGAGGAAGGAGATCGCTGTGCCAGAGTGCAGGAGTCAGGGCTCTGCATCTGGGCTCAAGGCTGCAAAGTTCCCGTGTTTGGGCAGACGGAGGGGCTGTCCCCGGGGCATGCGGGGCTCGAACGTGGGGCTCGTGGGGCGAGCAGGGAACGGACACGGGGACGAACGGCCCCGGTGCTTCAGTTGCAGCAGCGGCGGCGGCAGCAGCAGCGGCGGCAGCAGTAGCGGCAGCAGCAGCAAAACAGATAGTTTTGAATAGTCTTTCTCTCTCTCTCTCTTTCTCTTTCTCTCCCTTTTCCGCTGTCGGGCACCCTTCTCTCGGGGTCCCTTGCCCGGCGTCCGTCTCCTCTCCCCGCCTCCCTCTCCCCTGCCGGGCTCGGCCATGCCCCCGGCCCGCCCCCGGCCCCGGGCGGGGCTGCCCCGTGCCCGGCCCCGGCCGTCTCGCCGCGGTCTCGCCTCCGCCCGGCTCTGGCCGCACTGGCGGTGGCGCTGCTGGGCGGGCATCAGTGCCTGGGCCGGGGGCGGCATCGCCGCCCTTTGCCTCCGCCTGGCCCGAGCCCGGCCCCGGACCCGACGCAGGGTCCAGTCCCGAGCCCGGCCCCGGCCCCGGCCCCGGCCCCGGCCCCGGCCCCGGCCCCCGCTCCTGCCGCGGCCCGCGGAGGACACAGGCGGCGCGGCCGCTCCCGCCGCCTCCGCTGCGGCTTCCCCGGCCCGAGCTCCGCCGCTCGGCAGCGCGGTCGCCAGCCCCGAGCCTCCCGTGCCGCGTTCCGAAGATGGAACGCCTGGGCATGGCCGGCCCGGGGCGGGTGAGGGGCGCTCGGGGGCCATTGCTGGCCCTGGGCCGAGCGCTGACAGCCGCCTCCCGCCCGCAGGGACGGCGCAGGAGGCCCTGCAGGAGCGGTACAGGCTGGGATCGCTGCTGGGGCGCGGCGGATTCGGCAGAGTCTTTGCGGCCACGCGGCTCTCGGACGGCGCCCCGGTGAGCGGCGGGGCCGGCGGCGGGCGCAGGAGGAGGGGATGGAGGAGGAGGAGGGCGGAGGGCGGAGGATGGGGCTCGCAGTGCGGGCGGCGAGCTCACCCCGCTGCTGCCCTTGGCTTGCAGGTGGCCATCAAAAGGGTGCCACGGAACCGCGTCCGGCACTGGGGCGAGCTGGTGAGTGAGCGGGGCCAGCAGCCGGGGCTTCCGGCCAGGGATGAGCCGGCGCCCGGCACGGTGGGAGCCACCACCAGGACGCCCCCAGAGAGAGCGGGCGTGGGGCCAGTGCAGGGCGCAGAGCATCCCGGGCTGGCTGAGGGCTTCCCCAGGCCTGGCACGGCATCGGCCCCACTGACGGCATCGTGCTCCTCCCGCAGCCCGACGGCACCAGCGCCCCGCTGGAGATCGTGCTGCTGGCCAGGGTGTCCACTGGCTTCCCCGGTGTGGTCCAGCTGCTGGAGTGGCTCGAGCTCCCCAACTGCATCGTGATGGTGCTGGAGCGGCCAGAGCAGTGTCAGGACCTGCATCATTTCATTCGGGTACGGCGGTTCCTGCCTGAGGAGGTGGCACGGGAGCTGTTCCGCCAGGTGCTGGAGGCCGTGCGGCACTGCACCAGCTGCGGGGTCCTGCACCGCGACATCAAACCAGAGAACATCCTGGTTGACCTGGGCACCGGGCAGGCCAAACTCATTGACTTTGGCTGTGGCACCTACCTGCAGGACACAGTCTACACTCACTTTGCAGGTGAGCCTGCAGAGGGCTGTGCTCCCGCTGCTGACATCTCATTGCCCAACATCTCCCAGCCAAGGTTGGTTGTGGCAGCAGGGATTCTCCCTTTTGCTGCCAGTCAGGGCACTGAATCTACAGCTGAGTTGCTTTAGAGCAGGGCTGGGTGGGCAGCCATCTTCCAGCCCTGCTGGCAGCCTTTGCCAGCCACTCTGCCCAGGACTAGGGCTGGGCTGGGGCAGCCAGCCCAACCAAAAGCCCCGTGGGTTGGGGTAGCAGAGAGGGAGGGCGGAACCTTTGCCCCAGCCACTTTGGTATGCAGATGACAGGAAGGGCTTGGGCTGCTTCACTCGCCCTGTTTCCCTTGGCTTCATAATATTTTTGGGGAAATGCAGGCAGGGAGGATAAGGGCATGTTTTTTCCCCAGCATGGAGTGGGTTTTTCCTTTGCATGTCATGGTCGGGCCTAGCCAGGGCTGCCCTCTTCCAACACCAGAGGCTTCTTTTCCAACCCTAACTTTGTGCACAAGTCCCAGATGCTGGCGAGAGGGCAGTGGTCACGCTGTGTGCCCCTGATGCAGCCCCCGCACACCCAGGGATGCTGGGGCCAGGCTCTGGGAGCAGCAGCATCCCCCTGATGAACTCCATCTGTATTCCATAGGAACACTGTCCTACAGCCCCCCAGAATGGAACGACTTTGGCTGGTACCATGGCGAGGCAGCAACAGTCTGGTCCCTGGGCATCCTGCTGCACCAGATGGTCTGCGGGGAGCACCCTTTCAGAAGGGGCCAGAACCTCAGCTGGGGCCAGCTCCCGCTGCCACAAGGGCTCTCTCAAGGTGGATCCTCTTCTCTGGGCATGGGGGGAATCCCAGTGCTGGGAGCCAGCAGCGGGCTAGTGGGCATCCCGCTCTGGCAGCTGCTGAGGAGGTGGCACATGTCCTGCTCTCCTCCAAAACAGGGAATTGATGGGAAAGTTTAGGCCCAGCTCTGAGCACATCCAGCATGGCCTGGGCGTGGGAATAGTGGGGCAAAGCAGACAGGAGCCTTCTCTGGCTGACCGGCAGTTTCTGCTTTCTCTTCCCAGAGTGCAAAGACCTGATCAGGTGGTGTTTATCCGTGAACTCCTTGGACAGACCCGCACTGGAAGACCTGTTCTGTGATCCTTGGATGTGGGATATTCCTCTGCCATAGAAGAAGGGAGAGAGCCACAGGGACACTTTGATCCAGGGCCCTGGTAAGTTCCTGCTCCACATATGCCTTGGCAATGAGAAGCAAAGGAACCCAGAGCTTTTTGTGCTGCCTGTGTCACTGCACTGGGGTCATGGGATGGGAACACACAGCCCTTGTGCTGGGGCTGAGCTGCTCTGCGCAGCACTGGTGGCCGCCATCCCAGCTGGTTTTGCTTGTCCTGGTTCCCTGACAGCTGGGGCCCTGGGCAGAGCCCTGAGAGCCTGCTCTGCCCCCAGGGAAGGAGAAGGAGCCCCTGGAGAAGCTGTACCGAGTGGGGATGCTGCTGCTGCTGCTGCTGCTGCTGCTGCTGCTGGAGACAGCGAGGATGACATCAAGGATGACAAGCTCTTCCTCAGCCTGGCCACTGGAGGCTGAAGGTGGTGCACTTTGATTCTGGCACCTTCTTCAAAGCCAAACTCCACAGGGAATTTGCAGATGAGTTCCACCCGGGAAATTCTGCCAGATCTGGGCATAACCCAGCGCGGAAACCAAAGGCTCCCCCTTTGCTGGGGCAGATGCAAGTAATTCATCAGTGGGTGCCCAGCTGCTTTTGGCAGGGTGGGGCATGGGCTGGGGTGGGTACGAAATGGGATTGGGCTCCTGGCCCTGCCAACAGCCCCCAGCACCCACTGTGCCCCGGGCTGGGGCTGGGGCTGGGGCTGGGGCAGCCAGCCTGACACAAACAAAGCCCCATGGTGGGAGCAGAGGTGGGACTCCAGAACCTGTGCAGAGCTGCTTTGCTGTGCAGGCAAGGAAGGGCTTGGGCTGCTCCACTGCCCTTGTTTGCTTTGGGGTCACCGTGATTTTGGGGGGCAGTGCAGGGGGGAAGAGAGAAAGTGTGGGTTTCCCACAGCCATGGCTGGGTTTTTCCCTGGCATGCAGGGGTTGGGCCTTCCTCAAGACCCTGACAGAGATAAGACTTTTTACCAATTTTCTTGTTTTCCCATTTTGTCTCTAAACTCTTTTCAATAATGTGTTGTTTGTTATTCCAGAGGAAGCGTTCCAGGTGGTCCAGTGTGGATGGGGAAGTGCTTGGGAGCAGCTGTGGCGTGGCTGTGCCGTGCCCTTGGAGAAGGCTGAGGCCATGGTTTGGGAGCAGCTTTTCTTGCAGCCATGGCTGGCGTGAGGTGGGTTCCCTGTGTGCTTGGCAGGGTGGGATCAGAGCTTTTGGGAGCTGGCAGCGAGCACAGGAGCATCCTGCTCCGGGCAGCTGCTGAGGGCTGGATGTGCCGTGGCTGGCTGCAGGCTGGGCACATGTGCTGCCCTCCTGCTTTGTGCCTTAGGCAGCAGGGATGGGCAGCTCTGGGCACAGCTCTGGACGCAGCCAGCATGGCCTGGGCACCGCAGGCCTTGGCACAAGGGCACAGGAGCCCTCAGCTGACGGGCGGTTTCTGCTTTCTCTCCTTGCAGCCGGGCTCTGCGGGTGCTGAGGCTGCTCTGGGCTCTGCCAGGGCTCTGCTGGGCTCAGCCCTGGGCCCAGCTGGGCTGGCTCTGCCCTCACATTGCTCTGACAGCTCTGCATCAGACCAGCCCGTTGCGAGCACAGCGCCTGAGCTTTCTGCTTTGGCAGGTGAGTGAGACTCTGCTGCAGGCCCAGAGATTGCAGCTGGGGACACACATCCAATTGGCAAGGACCCAAATTCTCCACAGTCCCAGCTGAACGCCTGGATCTGCACAGGGTGCTTTGTCTGTCCCATTCTTCCTTCTTGATTGGCTGGAATTGTGCAATTGCACTTTCTTCCTCCTCTAGCAGTGCCACGAGTGGGCCAAAGCTGGTGAGTGGGCCGTGTTCCTGAGGTACTGCAGTCTGGAGCTGATGGATGGAGAATTGCCCTTCTGCACTGCCAAACCAGAGCAAAAAGCTGTCAGTGGGACTTCGTGTCTCTAAGAAACTCCTGGCAGTTACAACAGGAATGTGCAGCTCATTTGCAGGGTGAGAAGGAAGGTGATCTTCTAAAGGATTTGGGGTTTGACAGAGTTTCCATTCCCAGTCCTGCTTGGAGCTGGAAGGGCACAAAGCAATTTCCTCTTTCTTCGAGCACAATTTCAAATACCAGTGTTGGGAACAAAGCCCAAAATCTTTTAAGAGGCTGCTGAGGTCAGTAAGATGGATCCATGCCATCAGCACATTTACAATGTAAAGAACTGAGTTCTCTTTTGAAAAAGATCATTTACCTCTTAATGCAAAGAAGGTGTCTTTGCATTTATGTTTTGTTTTTTTTCACTAACATTGTGTTATGTTTTTTCACTAACACTTGGATTTTATTCTTATCTTTTACAATTTACCTAGTTTTTTCCTTTTTCGTTTTTTTCCTTCTAAATAGAAAACATGTCCTACAGAAGAAATGTCCTTTGCTCCTGGTTCCCGTGTGGAGCAGCTCCCTTCCTGCTGGCTGAGCTGCTCAGGCAGAGCCCGGCAGCTCCTGGCCCTGCAGGGCTGAGGCTTTTCCCTGTTTCTGGGCACAGACTGATGGAGCAGTACTGCTGAACACGGGCACACAGAGGGACCAGCAGCAGCTGCCTTTGGCCACCTGAGGCTCCAAGGCCCAAACTCTGAGCAGCCAGGGCTGGAAGAGACTGGCAGGATCTGATCCCTGACTCTGGGCCAGGGCTGCACAAATGACCCCACAGCAGCAGCAGCAGCAGCAGCAGCAGCAGCCGCAGCAGCAGATGGAGCTGACTTTGAGCACAGCCCCTGCCCCTCTTCCCTCCCGTGTGCAGCAGTGTCACAGCAGCCTGAGGCACCTGGGAGCCCCCAGTGCCAGCAGGGACTGGAGATGGCAGCCCTGGGCTCCTGGAGGCTGTGCAGGGAACGGAGCTGGGCACTCCCTGTCCATGGGGAGCTTCCAGATGGAAAAGGCGGCTGTGTCCAGGCAGCTGCAAGGGCACAGAAAGGAGGCTCTGGAGCACTGGATCTGTGCCAGTGCCACAGTCCTGGGCAGCAGCCAGCGAGCCCTGGGGGAACAGAGGGCACAGCAAGAGGGACAGAACCAGGCAAGGGCAGAGACTGGAGAGAGCCAGGCCTGGGAGCAGGAACAGCTGCTCCATTGCACTCTTGGAGAAAGCTCTTGGCTGGTTCAAAGCGCTGAAAGATGTGAAGGGCAGAGAGGAGGCCACAGCAAACAATGCTCCTGTTTGCACAGCCTCCCCTCTCCGTGTCCCAGAAGGAATTGCATGGACTGTGCTCTTCTCTCCGATTCGTCTCATTCAGCATGAGCACCTCAGCACCAGGAGCTGAAGGAGCTGAAGCCTCAGGCCACAGGAGCTGGGCAAGAGGAGACTTTCTGAGCAAAGTAATGCTGCTAAAATAGCCCCAGCTGAATGCAGTGGATATTAGCATGGAACCACAGAATCCTTTCTGTTGGAAAAGCCCTCTGAGCTCACCCAGTGCAGCCAGTCAGCCAGCAGTGCCAAGCCCAGCACTAAACCTCGTCCCTGAAGTGCCAAGGTCTGGACACCAGCCCTGAGTGCGGCCTGAACAGCAGGCCCTGAGCCAAAGATGGCCTCTGGATGAACCTTCCAAGCAAAGGTTATCTTTGTATCTGCTCCCTGATGAAATATGCATGGTCATTAGCACTGAGATACATGTAGCCACTCATTAGTGAAACATGTATTGACCTTTGTGTATTTAGAAGCCAGACAAGGCCATGAAATCTGACATCTGGCCTTGTTTGGGGCTGTATGGTCAAAGTCAGCTCCCTTGGTTCCTCCTTGAGCCCTGGCCAGGCTTTGGGAGGAACCCAAGAGGAGGATGAAAGCAGATGTTGCCACACTAGCAGTGCTGTCAGTTTGTTCATTCAGCACTGTCAGAGCTGGGCCCTCTCCCAGCGGGGTTGGAGCCTCACCTGGGGCTGGAGGCACCTGCAGGAATTCCCAGTGCCCAGGAGTGGCTCTGCAGCCCTTGGCTGTGACAGCTTCCCCAGCTGCTGTGTGGGTCTGGGGGATGGTAAAGGCTGAGGGTAAATGCTGCTGGATCTTTCTTAATCACTGCTGCAATCTTTGGTGGTGATTCCTGGGTGCATTGCTGAACTGCTCCCGTTGTGATTCTTTGCTGCTCTGAACTGCAGGAAATGACACTGATTCCTTCAGTTGGAGTCTGTGGCTTTGGTGCTGACCCTGCCCACTGGTAAAACAAAACTGGCACAGTCTGGCCAGATCCCAACAAAATGTCACTTGTTCAGTGTAAATGTGAGGAATCAGTCCCATCAGAAATTCCCAGCTGGGAAGCCCTTTCCTGGAGTTCCCTGGCTCTGGAGTGGGCTGAGGTTGGAGCCCCGTGGGAGCAGTGGGGCAGTTGGGTAAAAGAGGCTGCACCCCTGGATGTCTTCAAATGCATCCAAAAATTGCACATGGAAACGGAAAAGACCTTGTGGGTTTGGGCAGACAAAGATGAATTTGTTGAGAGTACATAGGAAACAGCACCTTCAGAAGGAACAATGATTGTTGGAATGCTCCCACATGGAGCAAGAGAAGAAGGTTTTAATCTTGAACTGATATGCATTTGTGCAAGTGAAATATCTATATACATAATAATTATATATG